ACCAACATTGTAGTACCCTAGTTGTTTTTTATTCCAATCTTTTCACCAGGAATATTTTTTTGTAGTGAAAACAGAGGCGTGGCTAGGACTTTTCAGAGGAGGGGAGGGGGAGATCACTCCGTGTCAAGGAGAGAATACTCACCAGATTTCCAGGTCGACAAGCACGCCGTGTTTTACCGAATGTGGCGAAAGCGCCACGATATCGTGATATCGTTTTCGCCACCTGATTATCGTAAGTTGTGTGCTTAAAAAATGCTTACTAACTGGAGGTCACGGGCACCCCAGGACCCACTCTAAGTACGCCCTTTAAGTGATTGGGCTTTCCTCGTGAAAAGGTTTTTAAGGTAACGAACAGCAAGTTTATAGTACTTTTTACAATTCTCGATCATCCTTTCTTCTATTGTAAGGAAGTAGTAGTGTTGATTACAATGAAGAAAAAGTTTTTCTCTACCAATTTGAAGTGAACCGTTTCCACAAAACAAACACAAACAAAATTACTTCATAAGGTGACCTAGACTTTTCTACGAGTTCTTAATATTTTGTAGTTTGCCGAAGCGATAGGAACACTTCTGTATGTTATTGCCATTGGAGATGAACAAGCATCGTTGCCTTAAGTTTTTCACGTCAAGGGAAAACGTTTTCAAGTCTGTTTTAACTATAGCAAGTAAAAATATGAATATAAACCTCTAAAGAGTTTAGATTAATTAATACAAATGTGAAAGTTTCTAATATCCATTAAACAAGGAAATTAATCTTGTATTAAAATTTGTTCCCTGAAATATTACTTCCTAGTATTCTGCTAGCACAGTGGCTTCGTTTCCTTTGAAAGTTACAAGTACTGTTTCCACGCCTCCTCATAAACTGTTAAGTGTGAGAGAATTTTTCTATGGGCCTCGTTGTCTGGGCGTTGGACAGAGGGGAGGGCCTCATTACGTTCAAGATTCGGTTTTCTCTTCAAACGTGAATGACTCTTTCCCAAACATTTTTGCCTCGACTTGCCACTCACATTCGTTTTTGAGTAAAGGAAAAAACCTAACTTCTATCAAGGGCAAAATGGAATAAAACAAAAGGAACTCGTAAGTGGAAGCAGTAAGCTTCAATAAGTCCATAATCCCATGAATGAAAGTGACACTATTTCTTTTAAGCCACGATGAACAGTATCACTCTGCCAAAAAATCCCTTCACTCTCATATTTGATCACTAGTTCACTGCAAAGGCATATCAAATGATTTTTAGGCTGCAAGGATAAAGCTGGTTGAAAGTAACTGGACTGAGTGGATTAACAAACTGTGAAAAAAATCTGGCTAGAAATTTGTCTCATTGATGTAGACTTGATTAAGAGTAACAGTTTGGGGCAAAGACAAGAAAATTTGAGCCTAATCAAAGAGCATGATGTGGTTTATTTGGAGTTAAACAGCATATGGTCAAGTGTTAATTAACACCATTTGGAACCCACGAGAAGAACAAAGTGGTTCTGAGCACACAATACTTAAAACCCAACATTAATTCAGAGTAAGAATTTTTCTACAGTGCACCATGTTAAAAATCACAGCAGGTTGGTACATCTTTCACTTTAAAACCATAACCATAGTCTATACACTCTGGAATGTTATCCAAAGAGAAAATTACAGGAAAAACTCAGTTCAACAGTTGTGAAGATTTAACTTTTTAAGCCACCTTTTGAAAGTGCAACTTGTGGTTGGGTATTCACTGAAAGCCTCATCTCATGTTGTCTGTGGCAAATCCCTGAGCAACTTTAGATAAACTAATACCACCCCTCAATATTCCGAGCTTATTTGCAAAAGTAACACAGCTTCAAAACAATCTATTTTCCTTGTGATAAAATGACCCTGTAAACAAACATAAACATAGCTTCCCCAAGATAGATTAAAGCTTGCCCTTTAGGGATGTAGTGTAGGTAAAATCTCCACAAATAGTTAGAGTATAGCACTCAAATGTATAGGGGAGGCAAGCAAGGCATCTCTGTTTCTCAACCAAGTGCACATTGGATTTGCACAGTTAGGGCTCCTCTGCTGAAACTCCCACTGAAAAGAGAGGTCTTCATTGTTTGATGGTACAACAACTGTAAAAATATGTGTTTCTATCATCTCCAGATATGCCACAGAGAACCACTGCTAAGCTAGTTTAGAATATGTGATGCAAAACCTAAATCCAGAGAAAACACTGTCAAAGTATCTAAGTAGATATAAATAAGTCTCAGTCATAAATAAGTTAAACATCTAATTTCAGTTGTTCTCAGTGTATACTTAAAAAGTGTAGAATCTAATTATTTCCCAGATGTCATCACATGAACAGATCACATTTTGATAAAACCTTACAGGAAGAGCAAAGGAATAGATGACAAAAAAAAAAAAAGAGCAAAATTAAAAAGGTATTTTATTAGTAACCAAAACTTGATCACTTGTTCCTTCTGCTAATTTTGTTAATAAATCTTGTGAAATGCATAACATGCTCAAAATGTTAATGGAAGCACACAGATATGTCTTTATGGAGCTTTCAGAATGGCAATGCGTAACCAATACCTACATCTGATTGATAGAGATGGTTAGTGATACATCCTCTTTTGAAAAGAGGATTTTCTTTATACTTGGTTTGTCTGTGTATTTACTGCTTCCCCAGTTAACACAACAGTGTTATTAATTTCAACTCACATAATGTTTTCTTTCGAGTGAATAAAAATAATGAATAGGAACATTTGGTTATTATTTACACCCTAAAATAGGGATAGAACTCGCAAGGAAATTGATCAGAGTTAAGAATTACTTTTTGACAATTAGCTCTACTGTGAATTATTTCAAACTGATTTCTAAAAAGGCCTCTCTTTCAGACCCACTTGTCGCACTGCATAAGCTTAAATATTTCTGCATATGTATTTCTGCACTGCATCAGCTTAAGTATTTCTGAAAATGGAAAGTCTGCAACAAAGAGGTTGACTATGCAGACTGAAAAAGGGGTTGTTTGGTAAACACTAGGATTAATCAGAGTTTGTGCAGCAAACACCCTCCCTCGTTATAACAAAGAGAATGATTGAGTACTCCCACTTTCAACTCTAGAAGTAGGAAGAATTTTCTCTCATTCCAAGGGAATGAAGCTTTTCCCAACAGCACATCAGCATCCTCAGTTTTGTTTTTTACCTCTGCATCTTCCAACTGGTGTTGTTGACATCACAGATTTCAACTATTTTGTCTCCTTGACAAAAGCTTCTGCAAACACTGGTAGGTTTCTGTAATTTTTCAGCAGCTCACTGTTGAAATAATACACAGAGAGGGAAAAGCTTCAAGTGCTTTGCTTACCATGAAAAGCTGAAGGGGCATGTATTTTATTTTTATCATCATCATCATCATCATCATCATTATTATTATTATTATTATCATTATTATTATTATCATTATTATCATTATTATTATTATCATTGAGAAATCTCAATACAAGGCTCTATGTTACAGAGGCCATGTGCATCATTTTTGCATATTGTAAAGCCTACAAGCACAATCTAACAATCATGTTTCGTGAAATTTTAATAAACCTACTCTCACTTTCTAGAAAGGAGTGTACATAGGAATGACAGATGAGCAATGTAAGGCACATACACTCTTTAATACCTTTGGAAATCTAAAAAAAATATGGACATCCATGTGCCATCTAACTACTTTGCCAATAAAACTAACATCAAATACATTAGTTGTCTCAAAGGAAAAGTAAAACCTCAACCTTGCTCTATTTTATGCCAAACCTGCAGAATATGCCCAAAGTACAAGCCAAAGTGTAGGGAGAGAACATGAAATGCAGGAAATTTAGCAAATCCTGTAGTTTAAGTGCAGTTTTCACACCTGTGTTGTTAGCAACACTTTAGAACAGTTTATGTTTATTTCAGACAATCATTTTGTTTTGCGTTTTCCTATACATTGCTACAGAGATTGTTTCAATTAGCTCAAATCTCTTAAAGGTCACAAGACAGAGAGGCACTATGTCCAAAACTGATCATCAATAAATAAAGAATCCGAATAATAAGCATATTTTGCTGTTTTGATTTATAAAACTTTTCCATGTTCTTCAGAACCACTAATTAAAACAAAACATCATTGGCTAGATTATGACATATTTATAGAATACAATACATAAATATATCATTTTCTTGTTCTATAATATAAACTTCAAGAAAAAGAAGCGCACAACGCCCCTATAAAACCATAAGCGACTAACGAAAGGTTGAACGAATAGTCTCATTGTTATCTATTCCAAGCTTTCCTGAGCATATATGTACTCACCATTTTTCAGTGTACTGGGTTTTACACTTAATTAATAGTCCCTTCTGTTCTTCACAGCTCATTTCTATCCCTGGTATCTTGTCTAACAACGCTCTGCAATGTTGCAACTTCGCACGGAAACCATTATCCTACAACAACATGTAATATTTTCAAACAATGCTTCGGCAAAGCTTTGAAACTTTTGCTTTTAAAGCGTCAAAATTGAAATTTGGTGCAGTACAGGCATATCAAACAAAAAATCGTAAAATTTCACTAATCTTGTGCCCCAAATCACATCAAAAAGGTACAATTTTAATTGCCACGATTTTCTTGGGACATTAGTAACTTAGTACTTACACTCTAGACTGAGTATTTTGACTTGATTATAATGAGACGATTGTCTCTCAAAACCGAAATGGAAAACATATAAATACCTTCTTTGTAAACTCCTGGGGATCGTTTGTCTTCTGCAGCGCCTAAATAGTTTCGAATATTATCGGGAGAAGATTAAACTCCTTCGCTACGTCGATTTCTTCAGTTTCACTGGCAGCCATGTTGATAGCATCTGTCATTTCCAGTCCACTACACGAAGGGCAATGTGTACTATGGGGCGCCAAATGTACGGTGGCTTCAAAGGGGCACACTTTCCTCTCTCTTTTTTTTCACTTGCGACTTAGCTGCTACTCTCTTGCGACTTAGCTGCGACTTTCTTGCTACTTTCTTGCGACTTAG